TCCTTCGTCCATTCCAAATTCTCCAAGTTCTGTTACTGAGCAAAAGGAGCATTCSTTTTTGTCTGTTTGCAAATAATAGAGTGTACAAAGAAGTCTGGAAGCTGAACTGAGTCGTYGACTTTTCTTTCTTTTTCACAGTTTCAGTTTTCACTTTCTCCTTTCAGCATCAAGTTGTAACGATTACTRTAATAGTGAAAAGTATAATTGAATCGACACTGAAAACAATAGGAATAACTTCATTAACACAACACAAAAACTCATTTACTTGCATGATTTTACACAAGGCAAGGCAACGTTAATCTATTTAAGTCCAGAAAATTCACTTAGAATAAAACTTATATTCCAATTAGACTTATCAAAAGACCTTTAAGCCCCAATTAATATTTCTAGACGAGTAAAAATCGYATAAAGTCGACAGACTGTTTGTTTACTGGAAGGTGGGAAGGAAGAGGGCTTTTGTTCTGGTTCCATGGTAACACAGAATGCCTCGAGCCGTGATTGGCTGAAGTAAAGCGAGCAAGTCGAGCGCAGGACAAGACACCACGATCCGAAGAGAAGAGAGCTGTGGTTCGATTTACACTGCATTTTATTTCTTAATTATTTCTTATTATGGCCGATGAGAATGAACTTTCTAACGCCTGTGAGATTATCGAAGGTATTTAGAAGAGATTTGCCAAGTTTWAGCCTGTTTAAGGGTTTTTATTAATGTTTTTTTCAAGCTGTTTTGACGGTGRGTTTCTTGTTTCACGCAGACCGACTGTACTTCGCTACACTGCGACACAAGCCTCGTAGTAGCTCTAATCTGCACTATTTCTCCATCGACGACGAGCTAATCTACGAAAAGTAAGTCAATGAATATTCTATTTTGGTTATTATTGCGACTGGAACAGCTTTCTAACCAATTACGCGTTCGATTTGCACACAGCTTTTATGCAGACTTTGGGCCCTTGAATCTGGCTATGTTGTACAGATACTCATGTAAACTAAACAAGAAACTCAAGGTAAAAATCGTAAAATTCTCTCTTATTTTATCCTAAATACTTTTATGCCTGCATTATTTGTTAAGTATATTTCTGGTCTAAGAACCTTAAATTCTAATTACTCATTCGATCGTTACGAGAACGGATTTTGAATTTTGCACATGGCTGGGCAWATTGGAAGGCAGATAAAAAACCGAAGTTGTGATCGATGGAGTTATCTAATTTTGCCTTTAAATAAGTTCAATCCTTCCCTATTACTAAWCATAACCCTCCTCTATTATCAGGCACAGCAGTTATTATGAATATGCCTGATCTAACTGAACCAGAAATATACATTCGTTTTTTCCTGTTTTTGTCCCAGACGCCGTTCCACAAAATCGAGCTCCCAAATGGACTTGATTTAATGCACTCCAGATATTACGAATGATTGTTTTTGTAATAATGTAGCATCTAAACTTAGTCGAAATACCCTCAGATCGGTCTACAGATRATTAAATTTGATTCAAAACTAAGAAAAATATATCAGAAAAATATTGTGTGTGGGTGTATTTAAGTAAATATATTCCAAAATTTGGGTAATGCATGTTTACAAGTGATCAAAAATTCTTTCTTCATCTTGTTATGATTTTGTTTTTCTTAACGGTTTTCAAAAACATGGTAGTTTTTGTGTATTTTTAACTGATGTTACACTCAAAACACCTAAAATAATAACGATCTAAAAGTGTGGTTTCAACCCTGTAGAGTGTCGTGTCTATATTCGGTCACATCATCAAATATTCCTGCCAACGTCGAAGATTTGAGGTCTTTCCTAAAATTTCGAAGGTTTATCTTATTAATAAGTCATCACCTTCGAAAGTACTCGTTATATTTTGAATTACGATCGAAAAATAGCGTCAACTTGCGACAAGCCGATCCAAAGTCAAATATTGACTTTTGAGAAAATWACTTCGACATTAGATAGGCTTTTCTCCTGCACTCAAATGTCTTAGTAATTTGTTCCAATCTACGTTCGAWAATGTTTTTTCTCGCACTATATATGAACCAAATATTATATTTTTTTGCTGGTAATTCCATAACAAAACCGCTAATGACCTCAGATAAAAGATTCTGTAATTGCAATTACTTTTCGTTCTCTTAAACACGACAAAATCTAAAGCACTGTATACCTGTTATTTTCAGTAGTTATTAAAAGTAAATTTATCAGCACGAGTTACAATTGTTTTCATATTCACACAACAAAACATGGAATTTTTGGCGCCTATTTTTGAGTCAAATCTGATTAATAAAAACATAGATWAAAACTTATCAGTAAGATAAAATTATGACTTATGAGCTTTTACTGTAGCATTTTATATAGACACAGTCTACAGTGACCTATATCTAGTCGTTTTTAGATGTATTTTCTTCTATTCTCTACTCTTAACATAGTGTGTTAGTGAGATTTTTTCACACTCTTCTTTATCTTATAACTAATTGTCTGTCTTATAGTATTTTTGTGTAGCTTSTTTTTCATGGATTTATTTTGTTTGATATTATTTATTATTTTTATTAACTTATTTTTTAACTCAAAAGTTAGGGGCTAGCTTTAAAATTATTTCAATTCTTGTTATCTCTCCTTCCCTCTTTAGCTCTCTTTAGATCTTACAACATGGTTTCTCTCTTTCTCGCTCTAGTTCTCTCTTGTGCACACTTTATATTTCTCTCCTGCCCTCTTGCTTTCTCTCCTCTATATGTATATGGAATAGMTAGTAACCAAATGCATTGATCTATTTATCACTCTAGTCCTTTTCTCTGGCAAAAAAGAAGATAATCCATTATACTTCCACTGACAGTAGGAAAAGAGCCAATGCAGCTTGTCTGATAGGAGCATACTCGGTAAGTACTTTCTGGCTATTATACTTAACTAATGCAGTCAAAGCATACCACTAATGGTACTCTCTGATTTATCTTTAATCTATAGATAATCTATCTCAACCGAAGTGCAGAGGAAGCATATAGAGCTCTTGTTAGTGGCTGTAATCCYCCATACTTGCCTTTCAGGTTSGTATTGATTTTGCTATYGTTTTGTCATAAAATTCAGGGATATTTATTTTATTGGTTATACCAGARTATATAATRTATATATWTATGTATATAGATRGGTTGGGGACTCATTTTTCTGATGCAAGAAGAGAAAAACTCTTTACCACACCTCCTCCCACTACTTCTCCATTAAACTCCAATTAAACTTGACTATGGTTATCTTTACAATTAATTTTTTACTATCTTGATGGTTGACATTTTTTTAATTATCATTAAAACCATTTTATCAAGAAGGAAGTGTATCACAAATTTTTACACCAGTGGAAAAAAAAACTTAAAAAGGTGTCGATGGCATTTGCTTGAAATACATTTAAGGATTACATAGGCTATTAATGAAATTGTTTTTTTGAAATTTGGAAAAGCCATTTAAGTGTCATGAAATAAATTTGATACTTCGAAGCCATTTTACAGTCATGAAAACCATTTGATAGTCATGTAAGCCATTTGGAAGTCATAAAAAACATTTGATACTGTAGTTACAAAAGCTATTTTACAGTAAAAAAGCTTTTAGGCTTAATGGAAATCATTTGTAAGTCATGACCATTTGATGGTAAAGAGTATTTGAGATCATGGAAACCATTTGRTAGTCACAAAAGCCTTCTGACATTTAAAACTGTTGGAACTTGTGAAAGCCATTTTGTAGGTGATAGATTGAAACTGTTTAGAGTTTTGAAAGCCA